AAATGAATTGTCATTTTGTGAGAGATCAACTACAGGAAGGGCTAGTTTCTCTTCATCATGTTTCTACTAATGACTAGTTAGCTGACATCTTGACCAAGTCTTTAACAGGGATCAAGCATGTTGCACTTCTCAGCAAGTTGGATGTGAGGTCCTCCCCTCCAACTTGAGGGGGGATGTTGAGATTATTGATCTGTAATGCACCATATTTATTCTTTCATTTTTTCATACTTGTATTCATATGTGTATTGGTCATTAGGTAGTTAGTTAGTATTGGGTAATTATACATCCACTATAAATAGGACATCAATTTTGTATTTTTCTTTTTCTTTGAGTTGCAATAATGAAAACAGCTCTTTTCTTTCTAGAAACTTCATTCTTCCGTCTGTTTTTCTCTCTCTGTTGTGCGATCTAATCCGCCATTAGAGCTCACATTGAGCTCACCTCTTTTTCTCTGATTATCCCTAAACTTTCACAACTTAAAGTTTAAGTTAAATATTGTAAAATATTATTCAAATCGATCAAGAGCAAGAGGATTATAACCTTCTTTTTAATTTTTGGGTGGTCTGGAATTCAATCAAATACGCTTTCCAGTACGTATGCAGTACGGTAATCACGCAGTCTCCTATATTTGCCAAAGTCAATAGAAAATATATTATTTTTAGTACATTTTTCAACCTAACCCTCCTAAACTAATGTTGTATTCTGCCCAAGGAATCCATGTCTTTGGATAGGAAATTAAAGGAAAATCAATTCAACCTTCTTACTTCTTGCTACCATTGCCAAGTAACTTAGAAACACATTTTGTCAAAGTCAAAATTAATAGGATTAATAATAAAAACTTAACTCGTTCGTGTTTGAATCACGTACTGTTTTATAGAATTTCTGTGCCTATAAATATACTAAGGTACATTTCGTTATGATTCTCATTATCCCAACAACCTCCAAATATTTGTCTGCCTCCAAAAATAATGGATTCAGTTAGAAAATTCATTTCATTATTTCTTATTATTATCTCCATTATTCTCACTCAAAATATCTTATTATTAGCAAAAGCATCTAGGCCTATGGGTGTGTTTGAATGGATGACATCGTTGCCAAGAGGCCAAGTTCCATCATCTGGTTCTTCTTCTTGCACCAACATTCCTGATCAAGGTGGCAACGGCTCTTGCCCATAAACTTTAAATCTTCGCTCTGCCCAATCAAGACGAGTCCAAAATAAAATTGTTCCGTTTTTCTTCTTGTTCTTCAATCAGTATATGATCGACTTTTCATAGGATCGCCGGGCATGTCTATCACCGCGTGTGCATGTAGTATTTTATCCATAAATACTAGTAAGGAAACTTACGAGTTTCTCCTTACGGAAACGGATGGTCTGTAGCAACCACGACTCGAATTATCGGTCGTTGGGAATCCTTACAAGACGGATGAAATCTCTTATTTCCACAGCCTAAAATACCCTTCAATGAATTCTACCGCCTAAAAATCCCTTCGAAGAATGCAGAGAATATCTAACCCTAGTCATCTCTTGTCTTGTGAAAAAACCCTCGTTTTCAATACCCGTAGTAGTTCTTGTATAGACTAGTACTAGGGTTTTAGGAGGAGGACTAGCTAATCGGTTAACGGGCTAATTATAGATGCAATAGCAAGTTTCCAAAGGTGCATGATTGCCTTTTCGTGGTGATATGATCTTTGTCAACCTTCCGTGGCGGCCAGGAAAGCTAAGGAGGAGAAAAAATAGCTTCCTTTTGATGATCATGGACATATAGATGATATGTTTAGAAAATTAATTCTTTGATAGTTTAAGTCTTCTCATTCTTCAATTTATGAATATAGTTGCTTTGTAGTTTTTCTTTAACTTGGAGAAACCATTGAACAAATTATTGGTAAATACAAGTGATTGGTGTAAATAACGATACAGAAATTCATGCCGAAGGCATATATACTTCTTTTGTGTTTCTAACAAGGAAGACGAGTTTTAGATCAACGGTAAAGTTGTTTTCGTGTAATATATAGGTCACAGATTCGAACCGTAAAAGCAGTTATTGATGCTTGCATTAGGGTAGGCTATTTATATTACGCCTTTGGGGTACGGCCCTTTCCCGAATTTGCTTGAAGACGGGATGCTTTGTGCACCGAACTGTTCTTAACATTATAAGATACTACTAGCAGCGTCAGTGTCAAATATGCAGTTTGAACTCGGGGGTGTACAAAGGAAACCGACAAATCGCATCAATCCGATAATCTGAGTCAAACCGTGAAAAAAAAATCGATTATGGTTTGGTTTGATTTGGTTTGGTGTTAGGAAAAAAAAAACTCCGAACATAATTGATTTGGTTTGGTTTTAACTAAAGAAAGTCAAACCGAAAGCAAACCAACCCGATATTACATATATAAAAAATTTAGATATATTTAATATATAAATATAATTATTGTGATGTAATTTATAAATATTGTTTAAATATTTTTATTATTTTATCTTTTAAAGTATTATTTCAAGATTGGACATAGAACTTTTGAATGTTCCAATAAGTTTTATAGCCATTAATATTAGTAACTTAAATAACGCTAACAAAGCCCAAACAAAAATCAAATCAATACTAATGCTAATAAAAGACATTCAATTCAATACTAGGAACGACAATGTATTGAATATCTATTTTTTATTTTACAATGATTTAGATAAAAATGCATAGCCTATTTTTATTTTATTTTTAGCGTTTAGTCATGTAATTAATACTCCCTTATAAGTCTACTTATTTTAGCATGATTTAGTACTTTTAGATTATATTTATTTTTATTATGGCTTTTTAATTAGCAATATTTATATTACATAATTTTATTATCTTTATTGTTGAATATTTTAGGATAATGTCATGACACATCTCATATTTTTGTATTATTTTCTTGGAAAATATCTTATATAGTTGTATCTTACTATGATTAAAGAAATATTTTGAGCACAAGTTATATGTTTTGTGCTACGAAAATTTTACCGAAAATAAATCCCGAATAACCCAAAAATCAGAGAAAAATTGAGATTGAAAAATCCGAGTTTTATTGGTTTGGTTTGATCTTTAAATTTAATAACCCGACACAATTGGTTTGATTTGGTTAATTGCAAAACCCGAACCAACCCGACTTATATACACCCCTACTTTGAACATTAAATTCAAAACTAATTTACGAAGGTATTTCAAAATCTTAGAATTTATATCAAGAACCATATGCTATTTTACCTAACTAATTAAACTATTTGTCGTTCTTTGGAAAAACATTTTAGACAATCGTAAATTTGGAGAAACTCTCTTTTAACTTTTAAGTGGAAGATGACTAAGCGTGCAACAAAAAGGCACATAGTATTTAATTGCATGAAAATAAATAAAATTAAGAAACAAACATATTGCGTATCGATATTAAAGAAATTCTATAAATTGGATACGAGGAAAAGTCCAAGCTGGGTTGTGTTAACAATGCAAAATTGGTGGCTGGTCAAATCTTTATAATTTTAGGGATCAATGCTAAACACCCATCAACAATTTTAAACTCAGTAATTAGCTAATGAGCAATTAATGACTGAGTAATTAGTACTTTAAGCAAATATGCATACTCAATCTTAAATTTGCCAAGTTTATGATTTTTGCAGCTGCCTAAATTGACTAAAGAGATAAAAAGAGTTGATGATAAACTGAAATTTTAATTAATAGTCTAATGCTAAGCAACTATAATTGACCATATAGAAAGGATATTTAGTAATGGATTGAAGGATTAATTATATTATTAATTGCTATAACATATCGCCTTTGCGTGCAATTATTAAAATGGTTTATCGTAGGTAAATTTCATTCAAGGGAATTTATTTTGTTCAAATGGCTGGTTAAAAAAAAGGATCATTTAAAAGACAGCTCAGAAATCAGAATTATGTCATAATGATCATCTAATCTCTTCGTGATTTCTTGAAACTTTATATTGTGTCCGGCGAATTATATATGTTTTTGGATATAAACTTGAAATTAACTTTTTTCCTCGTACTTGATCTTTAATAGAACAAAATTGATGCTAACGGTAATGGTGAATACAATGAGATGTAACTTAGTGTATTTATGGGCAGGGAAATTCTAAGTAGGACGTGTTCCAGTGACTAATAAGTTACTTTTTTTTTTTATTATTCTATTTTTTTTTTTTTACTTTAATTTGGCAAAATTTGTTATCAAGTGTTGACTTGGCAATGGTACGTACTACGTAGTAAGAAGTAAGAAGGTTGAATTGTTATTCCTTTTTGTTTCCAATCCAAAGACGCAAATGCTTGGGCACAAAAAGCCTCTTTTAAAGAAAGTTTGGTTGAAAAATGTATTAGGAATAATGGGATTGAATAATTCTGATTTTGGAAAATAACAAGGAGCTTGCTTGATATTCGTACTGCGTACGTGGAAATTAAAGTAAAAAGGGATTATGCATAATTTGCCGATTCTAAAAGATATTCAAGTTTCTGTGTTTCTTTTCTGAACCAATGGTTGGATTTAGGGAACTCACTACTTTCAACTTAGTTTTGCATTAACACTAACAGTTACCAATCAAGATATGAGGGGAAACAATCAGAAATAACCAAATTTATAGCTGTTAATTTAAAATAACTACAATTTCAAAGGTAATCAAAAATTAGCCACTTTTTCATATAAAGATAAAATCTAAAGATAAACACCCTTAAAAATCCGGAAAACTTACGTCATCATATGCTGGAGTTCGAATTTTACATATAAAAACTCCAACATAATGTGTTGAAGATCCAGCATAATATGCTAGAAGTTTATATGCAGGAAAACTTCCCGTGTGCTAGAATTCCAACATAATATACTAAAATTTTAAACGCATGAACTCCATAATCTAGCATATTATGTTGGAACTTATGTTTCAGCAAAATAGTAACTATTATGCGATGACTTTACAAGCGCCGGCTATTCTTCAATTATCAATCCGAAAATTGCCTATCTCGTGCTATTTTCTGGAGAGAAAAAAGGACCATATTACCAGACTTCAAGAAATAGAAGGCCAAACTTCTAAACATCAGATCCCCCAATTGGGGTGATAAAAAAGCCACATTTTCAAAGCTAATAAAAATGGAAACCAAGAAAGGCAGAATCACTCTTTACAAAATGTTTCCTTGCCAGAGGATTACAACCTCCTCCGCAACTCCAACGACCACACTCTCCTCCAGTACATTATTATAACGGAATACAGCCTAAACACTAATGGCCTATGCTCCGCCCCATCGATAGAGCTGAACTAGTCAAAGACCATTTGGAGGCCTATATACTCCATAGCCATTTACTCCACAAGCCACGTTCGAGTAGTCAGGAACGTGATATGGGTAACTAGGATCATTTTCCACATTCCTCATTCCAAGAAATGATGGATCAGAACCCATCATTTGCCACTGGTTAGGAACTAAACCATCAATCTGCCCACTTATAAACCGTGGATTAGGCTGCCGAATCATATCCCTATTAACACTATCAAAAGGGCCTCCGGAAAAACTATGCTGGATTTCATCATGATAACTTCGTGTTCGCTCAAATCTACAGGAACTTGTTGAGGGACCTAGATCAGCAGCAGGCATCCCAATATCACCAGGGAAAGAGAAATGCCGATTCAGATGGTGTGACCCATTGTTATAACTTTGATGAAAGCCTGTGTTGGGCATCGAAGTCCTTCCAATTCCATGCTCATCATCAAGCAAGTCGTTGATGATATCAAGATGTGGAAATTCATCGGCCAGTGCACTTTGAGACTGGCGTCCAGACGTGCAGGCTGGAAACTCGGATGGGATATGATCATGTGTTCTGCTGTTTACAGGCTTGAACAAATCAAAGTTTTGAAACTCGTTTCTCATAGAAGCATGGTCCCGGGACATACTCCTGCTGTCCCTCTGGGAACTCTCCCATTGCAGTCCATTCTGGAGGGTATCATGATTCATCATTCCATATGAAAAACTTGGTCTGATACAACTAGGTTCTATTCTTTCTGAGCCTTGTGGTAAAAATGACGGCCCAGAAATCAGTGAAGGTGATTGAGGATATGACTGTGAACTGTTAACCACTGGACTTGGAGAATAGGGTTGACTAAAACCAGCCGAACTTCCAGAAACAGGATTGCCCACAATTGCATTTCGATAGGACTGAGGAACATAACTGTGTGTTGCTGGTGACGGGTCAGAGCCCAATTGACCAGCTGCACTCACTGAACGGGCCAGTAATGGCGATGCCGGAACCATGGAAACAACAGGGGTAGCAGGCCTAGGCCCAGGTACTACAGGAGCACTCAAGGGTCTGGACAGGGCAGGAACTTGTGATTTGGGTTTTTCAGTTGTCGCAGAGGAAGTCACTTGACGAGATTGGAAGTTCTGAGGTGTAATAGATACTGAATGCACCGAAGGCTTCTCTGCCGCGTGTCGTTCTAAAACTTTATGAGGATCAGCCTTCGACAACACAGCAGTTTCAGCTGAATTAGCCAACGTTGTCGATTTATGAGTCAGCTTAGGACTTTCCAAAGACAATCTTTTAACAAAATTTGGATCACTTGTGACCGAGACCTTTAGTTCTGACTTCGACTGAACGGCAGATGCTGCACTTTTTGGAGGGCTTCTAGGAGGAGACATGACATGTGGCTTCTCCAAGAGAGGTCTCTGTGTATCAGCCTCTGTCAGCTTTCTCTGCTGTGAAACTACTATTTTCTGCATACAACAAGAAAACGTGGCAATGAAAGTTGGAACTCGCTGAAAAGAACATAAACAGAATCATGGCATCCACAGTAAAGAAATTGCCCTCAAAAACCCAAAAAAAGGAACTTCCTTAACAAAAAAACAAGGATACCCAAGAAAAAAAAAACATGGTAGTTTACCAATATTTCAGGAATACATTGTGTTTTGCACGAATAGAAAGAAGAACAGGACACTCAGCTTGCAAGATTTTTTTTCATCTCCTTTCTGTTAACTATATAAACATGAACGAAATGCTGAAAAGGGAGTGAAGGAGTTAAAACCCCAAAAAGGAAAAAAAGATGAAATATGCTCGAGTGTTATGACTCACAATACTCAGCAAAAGATTTTTTGATTTTTTCTAGGATGAAATCAAGTCAACGGGTAAAAGATTAATAGCCTGTTGAAAAGTGCTTTTTTAAAAGTACTTATGGTGAGAAGTAGTTTGTGTTTGGCTAATTAATTTGAAAAACACTTCTAAGCAGCAATTAGTGTTTGGTCAAGCTTTTAAAAAGCGCTTCTAAGTGTATTTTTCTCAAAAGTACTTCTCAAAAAAGTGTTTCGAGGAAGAACAGGGGCGGCTCAATAGCATCCGAGGCCTAAAGCAAAGACTTAATAAGAGGCCTTATATATATATATATATATATTGAGCACCGTTATCCGAAAAATTAGACAAGTGAGTATGTGAAATGAAAAAAAATGAGAACTAGATTTTATAAAGTATAAAAAATTGAATGAATTTAACGTTGATTGCATCACAACTGAAATGAGCGAACCCATAAAACATACTTACTCCGTCCAACCTTATGTGATACCTTTATTTAAGTCACTCCCCTTTCTTTATTTGATAATAATTCAACTTTGATTTTTTTACCCTTAATGGGATGATTTCTAGCCATATAAGTTTCTATGGTTTGTTTTGGGTCACAAGTCTCACAAATTTTCCTTTATTTTATAAACTCCATGTCTAGTCAAACATCTTCATATAAATTAAGACAGAGGGAGTATAATTTATGTGAAGAAAATAAATGATAAGTTAGATTATCAGATATATTTACGTGACTAACTAATGAATAGAGAAATATAATTTAGTAAAAACGTAAAATAAGATTGACAAAAAATATTTTTGTTATAGGAATATTAATTAGAGGAAGATATTAAGTTATTAAAAATTAATAATAAAATACTAAGAAATAATTATATAAATAATATACTATATATAGAGAAATTTTGGGGCCCTTAAATTCTTGGGGCCTAAAGCAAGTGCTTCACTTGCTTTAGGGTCTGGCCGTCCCCGGGAAGAAGCTACTTTTTTCTGCTTCTCCAAAACTGCTTCTGCTTTTACTCAAAATCACTTTTTTTTTCTTCTAAACGCTTGGCCAAACACTTCAACTTTGAAGGAAAAAAAAAAGCATTAAAAAGTGCTTTTCAACTTGGAGAAGCTTGGCCAAACAGGCTATAATGCATAATGGGAGAAGAAGACAAACCTTCTTCACCACTTCCTGCTCGTGCGAATGCGCAATAGCCTGAGACTCGGATCTAGTTGGCCCATAACTTACAGCTGTATCACTCAGCCGCCCTGCATCTGGAAGAGCATCTACTGGCTGACTATGCGTTTCACTAGCGCAGTCAGCTGCATTACTGGTTGATTTGCTTCTGTGGTTAGCCACTCTAAAAAGTCGACACACCAGGAATTAGAATAACAACAGATATCATGAAAGATAATCAAATGGATGCCAAAAAAATAAATTATAGAAGGTCACCTGCTGGGTGATTTCTGGTTTTTATGGTTCGAAGTCCCTCTGTAAGGCGCATTCGTAGCTGCTGAAGGGACTGAGTCAGTAGAACACGTTGATGAACTATCATCCATAACAGAAAGACTTTTTCCTGAAATTCCATTCTGTACAGATGAAAGGCCACTCAATCCACTGCAGCTAGTTTCTGTTGAAGGACGCATTTCAGAGGTGTCAGTATCCCAGTTGACAGGACTTGCGCCTCTGTCCTCAAAATCAGGATGGTTTGCTTCTGGGACACAATCAACTGAATCAGAAATGTCCGAAACATCTTCCAGTATATCTGTTTTTCCCAATGCTGCCTCTGGCTCCTCAGTCTCATAGTCATTTCCATCACCGATACACCCATCTCGTTCAGCCTTCTCTTGCTCGATAACACAAATTTTCTCATCCCTCCCCTTATCCTTTGTTTTGCGATTATTCTTTTTCTGTTTACCCTGAAATACAAGGTAAGAATGATAAAATGTATTTACACAATATCCCCAAAAAAGCACTTTCTTCAGGAGGTGAAAAGGATAAATACTTTCACTAAGCCTCAACGGACAGTTAAGAGCTCGCACACCAACTAGTTGACAAAGTCTACAACTTTGAAACTGTCTCAACACAGATTCTTGTCAAAAAAAAATTAACCCTCTTTCGTTCTTCTCTTTTTCTTTTTCTTTTTCTTTTTCATTTTTTTTCCTCTGTTGGGGATCCCAGAACATTCAGTTCTACTACTATATCACATGCTTTTTTACACATTTGTGTAAGCAACTTTTATCAGCCAAGCTTTAATGACCATATCTTGAACAAAAAAATTTAGGTGGTGCAATGGCAGAATATACAATTATCTGATATACAGTATAGAAACTACATTAGTTGATGCCAATAATTGAAAGCCAGGACATGGTTTTCAATTGAGCTGACATAAAGAGCTCCTTGCTTCAGCATTTCCTAATTCCTTCAAGGCTATAACCACAATTTGCGCATAAAAGGAATTACAAGCAAAGGCTAACTTTGCCCCTCGACAAAGTTAAATAGCTGATAGCAGAGACTCAAACTCTAATACCAACGCTGCAGGAGCTTTTTTTAAAAACAATGATCTGTAGCCTCACTTAAACAGATGTTCCCGTAAATTGTAAATAAAAAATATTTCAGATATCTTAACTGTGTAATCAAATACCATAATCATATGCAAGGACAATACCTGCTTTTTCTTTGACTTCTTTTCCTTGTCAGACGCTTTTTTAGCTTTCAGCTCAGTTTCAGCCAGCCAAGAAGCCTCTTCTTCACGGATGAGCTCTTCTTGCCTCTTTAAAGCAACAGCTTCCTGATATGCGACCTCAATTTTACTACAGAAGGAAATAACCAAGTCATTTTTTTAATCAGTATATTCAAGTCATTGTTCCATTTCAAAAAAACAAAAAAAAAATTCAAGTAATTGTTAACCATCAAAAAGTGCAGTATGACAACTACCCACAAATTAGACAAAGTGGACGAGCTTTGCCTCTCATTACACGATATTAGGTACAACATCATCCCACATCAATGCAGAAAATGCAGTTGACAATGCAGCTGCTTCCAAATTTGAGGTTTGCAAATCTAGTTAGATCTCTTCTAACTTTAAAAGTCGGCAAAACTAATTAGTGTGTTAGACTGCCTCTACTGTTAAAAGTTTCCAAAAGACCCTGACGCAATACAAATGGAATCCAAAGCAGAAGCTATGTTTAGCCATTTCAATAGCAGCAATCACAGTTAATAGCAACTAATTGATTAACGTAGTTTACCTGAAAATATGTGCAAGGACAAATATCTCAATTGTTCGACGACCTAGTTCAGTTAGGCGCCTCTCGTCACGCACAATGGAATCTTTGTTGAAGTCTTCTCCTGAAGCACCATCCTAAAACAAAGAATAGTAGGATAAGTACTTGTCTTCCTTCCCCTTTTTTTTCCCAGGAGTGGGGGAACAAATTCCCCAGTGATACACCAAAAAGAAAGGAAGTAAGAGAAGTGACTCTGACTAAAGTAACTCTTGGCCCATATTTACAATTTTTCAGTTATGCTAGGCATTGAAATAGGACCCAATTCAAATGTCATCCATAAAAAACATAGTTCACTCACAATTATTGACCCTGTTTCATGACAAAAGCTCAATCTCATTCTTACTGACTTTCATGGCTTATCCACAAAAGCAGTTTGAGATATATCCAAACACGTTAAGGAATCATAACATAAGTACAACAACAACAACAACAACAACAACAACAACCCAGTATAATCCCACTTAGTGGGGTCTGGGGAGGGTAGTGTGTACGCAGACCTTACCCCTACCCTAGGGTAGAGAGACTGTTTCCAAATAGACCCCCGACATCCTTCCCTCCAAGAACTTCCCACCTTGCTCTTGGGGAGACTCGAACTCACAACCTCTCGGTTGGAAGTGGGAGTTGCTTACCATCAGAGCAACCCCTCTTGTCTACATAAGTGTGTCCACAAATAGGAAATATTACTGAAGCATATTTATCTCTCACAAAACCTTTGACAGAAGGGCTAATCTATATTTCACAAAAATCCAAAAATAAATCCAAGAGCAGCAATAACAAGAAACTGTCATACAATATTCAAGCCATAAATTTGGAACATTTCAGAATAGAGCTTCAACCACTGATTGTGTCACTTACCTTTGTACGGTTCTGGGGACCTTTCTCATCCTTTGGAGGCAGCGGTTCCAAGGCAGCCCTCTCAAGCAATAGCAAGACATCATCGACCAAGACAAACATGTCTTCATCCAAACGAACAATAGGAACGAGTTGTTCTTCTGCATCCAAATATTTCCCCTTACCTTTCTTGCCTCTAGTATGGCCTTCAATAGCCTTAAGCCCACTGTACAAAGAGTCCATCACCAGAGTAGATGTAACCTCTTTTTCAATGAAGAAGTGCTTGACAATCACTTTCAAAATCGAATCTGATTTCTCCCGAGACATGCAGCACCTAGAATTTTGGTCCATTCCCAGCCAAAAAGCACAGAAACTGCATTTCCATGTCATGTGAGAAGTCAGTATTCTATGATAAAATGCTAAAAAAATCAAAAATCTAAAAGCGAGCACATATAGCATTGCCTACATGAGGATTATGGAGAACAAATATGTCATTCAACAGAAAACTTATCCACATCCACCACCACAATTAAAGAGCTAAATAAGACACCACAAAACTTAGATATTAGAATCTAGAGAACTATCAAGGCTAACAGTCTCTAGAACCAGGTAAGCAATAGAGAAAATTTACAGCATACCTCGACCATCTAGCTTTATCCTCTATCAACTTTCCAAGTCTTCCTCTCCGCTCTTCAACAAAACGGCGGCAAATCTGTTCAACATTGGTCAAATATACTCTAACAAGCTCCCTCCTATATTGACAGTCAAGGCAACGAAAGGGACGATCCGCTCTCTCCCTGCAAACAAAGAACACAGCCCAGAATCACCATTTGAGATCCATCACAACATCCATGGAACAAGTTAAGAATTCTCAATATTATATAAAATAGATATTGAGTAGCAACAATCGCGTCTCCTAGGTCTACTTTGGTGTAAGTTATGGTATCCAAACACTGTTATACACAAAGTAGCAACATTTCTAAATGTTATTGTGTCCATATTAAAAACCATGTTTAACATGACCCTCACAGACATACCACAAACCCGCTCCACACACAAATCATTGATCTCCCAACTTTTCCTTTCTTCGTTTGACCACAAATATATATATGACATCATAATGTTTGAAGACTACTATATCTGTATCTCATTCTTCCTGATATATACAAAGCCTAATAACACTAATGAAACTATCTCTGCAAGGAAAAGATGATGAGTTATAAAGGTAATGGGTTATAACCATGAATTTTGATGCAAGAATGTCTTTTAGTTCCATTTGAATCCAGTGTTGTAAATCAAACAGTTAATAAAACATCAATGCCAGCATGTCCATGTCAAACATTTATGGCATGTTCACATACATGTTGACATCATCCTGTTTGATAAAAATTTATAGGGGAACACCTATGTTGAACGAAAGGTCGAACCAACTAGCACTTTCAAATCTTCACATGCAAGCATGAAGAGGAATCACATCGACTTAGACTAGCAAATGGTGGTGGAAAAACATACTATTGTCTCACCTTGCTATCGGTTGATGTAAGATACAGAAATTGGTACAAAATTATAAAATAGGGAGATCAAAGTGAGAAAAGACCTGATAACTTGAACTTGAGCTTTAATTATGAGGGTATCAGCATCAATAAACCCTTCTAAAACTTTTGAAAGCTCCATAAACTTTTTCCAACCCCAATCATGCTCTTTCTTCCAGAAACGATGTAATGTATCTGCAGAAATTTGCAACTGTATTTTAACACGAACATGCAAGGACTTCAATAGATCCATCACAAAAGACCATATGTAATGTACCCACCTGAATACTTGGATTTCTTAGGATCTTTGTTCACCACAGCAATAGTGAATTGAGCAAAATGACTCCAACCTGTTTTTATCAAAAGACAAGAAAACATCAACAACACAGCTACAGCAACACTTGAAGATAGGTTTGGGTGAACTACCAACATTATCACACCTGGAAGGAGCTTGTCATGATTAGCCACACACAGAAACAAAGAGAGATGATTGCAGACATCGCATCCTTGAGGGTAAATCAAAATATACCTGTTGCCACCAGTTTGATCATATCAAATATTTGTTAGTAATTTTATAATTCCTGAAACAGATAATTCTCATTCAATGAGAGGAATAAACAAGTATACAAGATTACAGTAAGCTTCAATTAAGGGTGTAAGAATATCAAACTTCGTACAACCCAAACTCCAAACATAAGATGAAGCAAGATAAACAGCGTCTATAATTACCTCTATGTCAATGAAAAAGGAGAACCTAGTGAACAAACTCAAGCTGGCATCAGCCTATTCTCTAAGAGTAAACTAACAGTGTTTGCAGTCATGCAATTTCTCTCAGAAAAAGATAGCGCAAGAGTGCAGGGAAGAAGCTCCTGTAATTTTCTCAGGTAATCATTCATCTACCCCAGGAAGTAAAAATGAATTTACTTGTTTATATTCATCCAATTTCAAAGGGGATTGTAAAGATGACCTAGACAAACTGCATGCCCCTCTGCTTTTACTTCCTTAGAACATCACCGGAAAACCCTTTTCTTCTTCTCTTTTGTTACATCCTGCTCTTGGCTGCTTATCTAACCCAACCTAACATGGTCCCAACCAGAAACAGAGTATGCACATGTAACCAACTTACTCCATAACTTACTTCGTAACTTTCTATTACAAGATAAGTTGTGCACCCATCTCATTTTACTTCCTAACAGAGAACTGGGAATAGACCATCCCTCTTCTCTTATTTACATCCTGGCTCCTCTTCTAAACCAATGTAACATCATCCAAACTAATAGAAAAGGGTCCATACATAACTTTATCCACAAACTTACTTCCTAACTCAACAGGTAGAAGATAGAAAGTCGAATTTTTCCTATTACAATTTACTTTATCCAAGTAAATAGTGGAAAACCATTAACATATGAAAAGCAGCAGCAGGTAGCTTTTGAAATGGATAGACACTGGACAGACAGCATTTTGCTCGTTGAACAATACATATCTCGTTCTACAAGTAGTTGAAAGATGAGAACACATTAAATACTTTCCGGTTAAAGGAAAGATGAGAACACATATAAGGGAACCGAACAAGTATATTCACAAATAATTCTTGCCAAAGATATCATACCATTTGAAGCCTCCGACCTCAAATGCATTACTCCGAAGTTCTCTCTTGTTAATTTGTGAAAACTTATCAATCTTCCAGGTATATTTCCCATAAAGCTCGGAAGGTTTAGGTCCTAAGAAAATAAAAGAGGATAACTGAATAAATAAATCAAAGGTGCTTCCGATAAGCACGCAGAACGGTAGAAGGATACAAAAGGACAGAGCTAGTTAAGTGTAAAGAAGAAACTTCTGAAGAAATACCAATAGTCTCACAGCCTAGAGGCAGTTAAAAACACATGCATTATCGAAATCAGGTCGAAAAACAGTTACACATAGTTACTGTTGCCTCTTTTTAATCAACAGTATAACATCCCCACCACTAACCCTGAATGAAAAGCACATATAAAATGGAGTCAAGCAACTATAGTAGAAAACTACTCTTCAATAATGATGTAAATGGATCTCATCATATCACAATTGTGAAAAACCAAATTCCACAGCAGAGAAGTTACTTCTTGTAGAATCCATTTCACATTATTGCTTAGGTCAGAGATAGCAGTAGTAATATCAATGGTCATGTAACCTCCAAGAATTTACACTAGACGTGTTCACTTTTCATTTAGAGACTTGGAAAAGGACAACAAGCTAGGTTGGAGTGCACTATCAGCGGCTTTGGTGACAATATAAGAGCTCACAGAGGTAGAGAAGGTAAGGATAGAGAATTATGAAACTGATTAAGGAGAAAGAAATATGTGTGTGCATGGTCTACTATCAATTAGCCAGGAAGTATTGGCAACGAGATGGTTATACTGAAAACCAACAGCATATGCAAGGGTAACCAGCAATTAGTAGGCAATGATAAACATTCTAAGGGTTCATCTTCAAAATCAATCATGTCTCCATCAAATAACATCTAACTGAAAACCATCTCAAACTTAAAAAGTGAATATTACAGGTATATTTAATAAGCAATGATTGACATTCTAAGGATTCATCTTTAAAGTAAGCAAGCAGTTCACTAAATATGAAGAAGACATTAAACTGATTAAACACTATTAACAAGACTCAGACTCAGTGATATTCAGAGTTCTGAAACCAAAGAAGACTGTCAATCCAAAAATAAGTATGCAGTGATTACGCTCATTTTTGCAGAAAAGAAATTAATGGTGGATTCAGATACGTCTGTCATGAACCAATCCAAGCAACTGACAATTATTACATGAATGGTCCAACTTCCCCCAACAAAGTACTAGTCTCCTGATACTCATTCCCCAATTATGACACTTAAAGAAACCAACAGAACTATTCTTATACGGAAAAAGAACACTGAAAATTGCAAGCAACATCTGTCAAGAATTGAAAGAAGACTTCAGAATTACAAAGAAAAACATTGAAACAGGCAAGCAGCATACCAGCATCTTCATCATCATCACTATCCCAGTAAGGAGGCGATGTGGACGGAGTTCCATTCTCCAACTGCTCCGAAGACCTCCATTCGGCCAACGCTTCACTAGATTGGCATCTCTGCTGGCCATTTGACACTCCCTCCAACGACCGCCCCGTACCAGCTTCCTCAGATGCACTTGAAGCCATTCTCACCCCACAACTCCCACCAAATTATTAAAAGCTTCACCTTTCTCATCCAAAAATAATTACACCCCATTAAAAATACAAACAAAAACCTTTCTTTCCACACCTTTACAGTTTTAAATTAAAAAGGTAAAAGCAATGCAACAAGCTGAATCTGTAGTCAGTGGCGGAGCCACATACAGTGAAGTTGAACACCCTTCGTCTGATAATTATACTAGTGTCGATAGAAAATAATACTGCATATATAGGTCAAAATTACTTTTTTACACATATATTAACGAAATTCCTGGCTTCACCGCTGTCTGAGGTTGTCTAAAACTTCTCAGCGGAACTTATAGTACATACATAAGAATTCTTAAACCTTGGCCAAAATAAAACAATACAAATTTGTACATATTCCAAATAAGGATATATTCCAATTCACAATTACTATACCTGAAACCCCACATTAGAATAACTCCCAATAAACCCTAGTTCAAACCCATCTTCCACAAAATCAAAAGAACCCGAAAATTAAATCAATCAATAAATTCAGATAAACCCAGAAAAATGAATCAATTATTAATTTACCATAAACCCAATTGAACAAAAACCCATAAACCTAATTGAAAATCAACATTCCCAGATCAAAAAAAAACAATAATTCCAAAAAACAACGACAACACAAAATATAAAATAAACCCTAAAACACAATTTTTTTTTAAAAAAGTAAAAGGGGAGCAAAAAAATAAGGAAAATAGTATAATAACATAAATAAAATAAAATTAGGAGAGTAGATCAAGGAAAAAGGAGCAGACCTGAAGCAAAAGAACAAAGCTTTTGTCAATGGAAGCTGTGAAAAAGAAATAAAGAGAGAGAGAGAGAGAGAGATTTGAGAGGTGGAAGAAGCAGCAGAACAGAGGCGGAAATAAAAAAATATAATTTTTATATATACCCCCTTTATTTCTTATTCTTTTTTAAAAAAAGAATAATTCACATAATTACAGGAAGATGGGTTTGGGTATTGTGTTTGTGTACCTCTCTCTTTATGTATATCTCTTTCTTTAATATTTAGGTTTTCTTTTTCCTTTTTGTTATTTTAAAGGTTTTTTCCTTTATAATTATTTCATGTTTTTTCTCATGTTAATGTATATTTTTAGGATTTTTTCTTCTCTTTTATGATCGAGTGCATAACGATAACTCTATTTATCATTGAACAGGGAATAACTCACATAATATTTTTGCTTTCTTTTAGGGTTTTTCTTTCTATGATGATTTATTTTTCTTTATAATTATTTTATGATTTTTTTCTTGTAGTGACAATTTTATTACTATGCTTGTTCATTTTGTGATGGTATATTCAGAGTGTTTTCTCCTTTATAAGTTTTTTTTTTTTTTTTCTATTTACTAACTTGAATTTGAGGAATTTTTTTGTTAGTCCTTGAGTTAGTAGGAAGATGGGATTTGGGAATAAGGACTTTGCTGTTTATTTCCTCCAAAATAGCCAAAATTACATTACCTTTCTGTCAACAAAAAGAAATTAATATTAGTATTTTTAGCATTTATTAAATTTAAATAATTAAATATGTAGCAAACCCTCCCCTCCTACCCCCTTTCTACCCCACCTCCCACCCCTTGAGGGTCCCTTCATAACCTAGATGCTCTACTCTTAACAGTTAACACTTGTACATGTTAAGGACTTTTGGGGATCTTTTTTTCTTTTTCTTTTTCATGAAGAGGGTTGATATCCTAGTAAAAAAAAATAAAAGTTGATTGGCTAAAATTGGTCCCACCAATTTTAAAATACTGTTTTGGGTTTTTTGGTGAGTTGGGTTGCATTGAGTTTTGGATAAGATCATTGTGACGTTGGACTGATTCATGGGCTATATTTGGGCCGGTCCAATCTATGTATTTGGATGAATTAACCCAAATAGTCGCCTACCCTACTACTTAAATTAAAATTAGCCGATAAATATATAATATATGCATAATTTATATATTGCACATATATATAATTAATGTATAATTTATGTATAAGACTAAAAAAAATAGACAATTAGTATGGCCGGCTATTTGTGTAAAGATCTTAATTCTTCTATCTCAAAAAAAAAAAGCAAAATACAAAAGAAGAGTTAACCCAAATAGCCGTTCATCCAACCACTTAAATCAAAAATAATCGTTTGAGGTGTGATATATGCATAATTTATATTATATATATGTGTGTGTGTATAATTAATATATAATCTCTCTCTCTCTCTCTCTNACAAAATGGGTCGATCGATTAAAACAAATTTGCATTCGCTAGTCAAACACCAGAGGTAAGTCATCATAATGTAAAAATAGCACGGTCTAGCCAGTTTTCGGACTGGTCATTCAAAAATAGCAAGCGTTTACCAAGTCAATGAAAAATAGTCACTATTTTGCTGTAATAGAGATCGGTCCAACATAATATACTGGAATTCGGTGCACCTGTGTATGAACTTCCAGCATTAGTATACTTTGCTGGCTCCAGTATATACTGGAGATTGGAGCACCGGTGCTCCAAACTTCAATATATTATGCTGGATCGGTATATTATGCTGGAGTATTTTTTTGAATTTTAAACAGTATTTTCGTTCAGATTTATCTTTACATGAAAAGTAACTAAATTTCAATTATTTTTAAAACTGGGCTATTTTTGAATGACCACTTGTAGATCTGGCTATATTTAAATTTCTCCCATCATAATTGCACTTAGCTAGGAGATACAGAGCAATTAGTTTCCTCTCTCACTCACCCTCTCGTTATATTATAGGAAATAAACATAATTTTATCAGCAAATGCATTAATTTTTCTTGTTTTGAGTTCGATGCATGTAAATTTATAGCAGTGTCAATATTATTAATTTAACAAACCGTTCTATTGGAATTCCTCAGCTAAAATACTTGAGCTATTAAATCCATTAATATAGACACTAGGCATAATTGATATATTTACTACCGTATCATTCTTAATATATTTATCCCATATGTTTTTATAAAGTGCACTAGCAACTTTTTATCTAAAGATGCATCCTATATGCTTGTCATCTTTGTTTTTTTTCTCACCCGGTGTTCGGTATCCGCATTGGAGCCCGACTATATCCGTATTCGCGGCACGTAAAGCCTCATTCGAGGAAAAGCACTTCCTACTAAGGTTTATACGGTCGAAATCGAGCTTGCCTTGGCATGCTAGGTCAGGCTCGGAACATGGCAATAAAGGACTAAAGATCGACCCTAAGTCTCACCGGGCTAGAATCCGGAGTCAGAGCGCCTGCCTTCGAGAATATCAAGGTTGTGATCCCGGAATCGATCCTAGCCGCGAACGAGCTCGAAGCAACATTATTAGCATAGCCAACAGAAGACCGAAATATCCGTGACCGGTCGGATATTACGGCGGGAATCTTGGCACTTATTAATAAGGAACTGACAATCAGCAAATTAAGAGTTTTTTTACCTTTTATAGAATTGTACCAGAAGTAGGACTCATCTACTATATAAAAAGGGTCTAATCATTCATTTAGCACATGTCAACACGCATTCCAAAGCAATGTATTATTATTTCTCTCTTTAAGCTCTTATTCTCCTGTATCTTGATACCGATCGAAGTGCATCCAGTTTAAGGGTGACTGACCTCCCAAGACTGTAATTGTTCAATTCGTGTGATTTGAATTTACTTTTATCATTGTTTATTTCAATTGCAACTTAATTTATCGCGTTGTGTCAGGCTAATCTGTGTATCCTTAAAACTACTTACAAATTCAATTGTTATTTGATTTTGAGGGTAAATAATTTGGTGCCCACCGTGGGGCTAAGGATAATAGTGGTTATTTGATATAAATTTCCATAACACACACTACTTTACACTTATTCTTTGAAGTGCTTCTAATTTCAGATTAAAGCTCAAAATGTCAAACTCACAATCAGCACCTCTTCATGTTGACAATGAGTCTGACTATAACAGTGAAAAATAACAATATAGTGCCCAATGACGGGGTATCGCCAGTCGATCCCATCGGAATTCCAGTTGCGAACTTGATTGACGCTAACTCGCATGTGGCCATCGACAGAAATTTGCCTACTGACCCCGAGAATAGCGTCCGTGGTGGAGCCTGATCGGCAGCTCAAAATAAACAAAACATTGGAGGAGACGGGGTCAATTTACGGATGATATTCAAAATGTTACAGATTCAACAGGCGGCGATAGCCCAGTTATAGAACCAAAGCCGCGCACCGAGCAGAATTGAACCCGATGCATCTTGGGAAGTCATCCGTATGGATGAACCAGTTGCAAAGAGGTAGAATGAAAACGAATCTGGGACTAACCCCGAGATCATAAAGATGGTCGAGGAATTGACAAAACAGGTTGAATCAAGGGAGAAGAAAATCGACGCTAATGAAAAAAAGGTGGAAACCTACAATTCTAGGGTCTACCAAATCCCAAGAGCGTCGCAGATATTGAAAAGCCTGGATTCCAAGAAGTTCGTGCAAAGACTTTTTCTTCCAGGCGCAGCTCCAAAGCCGATCCCTAAGAAGTTCTGATGGCCGAGATTCCTAAGTACAACGGAACGACCGACCCAAACGAGCATGTAACCTCCTACACATGTGTCATCAAAGGGAATGACTTAGAGGATGATGAGATCGAGTTTGTCTTGTTGAAAAAATTCAAGGAGACCCTATCAAAGGGAGCTATGATATGGTATCACAACTTACATCCTAATTGTATTGACTCGTTTGCTATGCTTCCAGATTCCTTCGTAAAAGCACACGCCGGAGCTATTAAGGTCGAGACCAGGAAGTCAGGCCTTTTTAAAGTAAAACAGAAGGATAATGAGATGCTCAGAGAATTCGTGTCCCGGTTTCAAATAGAATGGATGGACCTGCCACCGGTCGATGATGATTGGGTAGTTCACACTTTCACCCAAAGACTCAACATTCGGAACTCATTGGCTTCACAATAGTTAAAACAAAACTTGGTAGAATATTCGGCTGCCACTTGGGCAGATGTCCATAACCGGTATCAATCATAAATCAGGGTCAAAGATTATCAACTTGGGCCCTCTTCCGGGTCCATGTATCCCGACAGAACTATCGACAAAGTCAAGAGAGACATCGATCGTGAACCGAGATTAAACAGGGACGATATTAGTCGTACAATAGAGACCGAAGAGCAGTGGGTCTGGGCGGAAATCTATAAGAAATGAAAGGATAAGTAATCGAGGTTGGAGCAACCAGGACTCATGAGCAAAAACAGCTTCGATATGCCCATCGGGCCTAAAGAAGCACCAAGATTATCGGAGTACAACTTCAATGTTGATACTGCCGCTATTGTATATGCTATCGGACGCATCAAAGATACCAAATGGCCTAGACCTTTACAGTCCGATCCAGCCCAAAGGGATCCCAACCTAATGTGCAAATATCACGACACTCATGGCCACAGAATAGAAAACTGTTGAACATTAAGAGAAGAGGTGGCCCGGTTGTTTAACAACGGACATCTCCGAGAATTCCTGAGTGATCGGGCCAAGAACCACTTCAAGAATAAGTACTCTAATAAGCAGACCGAGCAGGAAGAGCCTCAACACGTCATCAACATGATCATCGGTGGAATCGACATTCCCCATGGTTTGATGCTGAAATGCACCAAAGTATCCGTCACAAGGGAAAACGGACTCGGGATTATGTACTGAAAGGAACCTTGTCTTTTAACGACGAAGATACTGAGGGGATCATAAAACCCTACAACGATGCACTTGTAATATTTATACTCATAAATCTCGAATTAAGCGTGTGTTAATTGATCTAGGTAGCTCGGCCAACATCATCAGATCAAGGGTCGTGGAGCAATTTGGCCTACAAGATCATATCGTACCTGCGGTTCGAGTCCTGATCGGGTTCAACATGGCATG